CCCATCTGAGCACATCAGGGCCATCGTCAACCTCAGCCTTGAACACAGCGATGCGGGCCATCAACACGGCAGCTGCTTCCTGGTCGAAAGACTGCGCCAGTGTAGGGTCACCGGCAGGACCGCTGAGCGGCCGCGCGACCGTCGTGACGCGAAGGTGGTAGTGACCCGACGAGTGCTGGTAGTATGTGAGGAACTGCATCATTCCTCTTTGAGGGCCTGGTTGCACTGCTGCAGGTCCACCCTGGTTTGCTATTTCGAAGTAGACGCCGTAACTCGAGGCAGGGTCAATTCCACACATCTTCCATGCGCAAGTGTTACCGATACCACATTCCGTTTCGCCGACAGAGCTCGACTTCTTGTTCAGGGAAACAGCATGACCGATAAGACCGGTGACCTTGAGCTCCTTGGTAGTCAGCACCTCAAGAGATGCGTTGAAGCCCATGAGTAGGTTATCGTTGGCATCCTTGTCGAATATCCTAACGAAGGACTGTTTGAATTGTGAGGAGGTGAAGCTGTCTGTGAGAAGAATATGTCCGCCGGTGTAGTTGGCAAGGTTCTTCATCTCCAGCATACCGACCTGATCGAGACAGCCGGCAAAGACATCAACAATATGTCCGTTATTGGCCGCACGCTTAGCCATGTTGTCATAGAACTGGGTACATTATTAATACTGTGAAAGGATCCAAGGGATGTCGGATCAGCACGCACCTTAACGGCCTTCTTGTAATATTTGATGTTATCGCGGTCGATATCGTGGTGTGAACGGATGGGTTCCTTCAGCTCAGGACCGACGACGTGACCGGGACCCTCAGTGGCCGGTCCGCTGGTGAAGACCATAATGCGGCCACCAGCATTCTGGAAGGAGGTCTCGAGCAGACCCACAGCGACGCTGAGAGCAACACCAGTGCATCTAAGAGGTCGCTTGTCGTTGGAAACAGGCCACGGGTCACGTTGGAGCTGTTCAAGCACGTTGGTGATCTGGAACTCGGCCTGCTGAACGGGAAGGAGGAAGCGTGCCGCAGGGCCAAGCGGGGGACGCGCGGGTTGCTGGGGCATGTTCGGGCGAACTCCGGAAGCAAGACCAAGCATCTCCTGGACCTGTTTCGCGGCGTATTCCTTGCTGCCGCGGAACACATAGGACTTGGCGCACTCGGTGTAGCCGAGCTCATGTACTTGTGCCTGTAGTTCACGGTCAACAACGCATCCTAACATGAACCAAATGTAGATAGATGGTTGTATATCCCTACCATTGTACCGTATGTGATCAGACCAACCAACGCATTCACAGGCAGCAATGACAGACTCATGATCAGAGAGTCCTTCAGGGCCTTCAGACTGTCATCGTCCTGGCAGGTATCGACAACATAGACGAAGATAGGGGGAGCAGGGGCGGGGCGTGCCAATTGGTACTCGATTGTCGTGCTCATGGGGTGAAGCTCTGGGGGTATCGTGCTCTCCGTGATATCCTTGTAGTGAGGGGGCAGGGGGTTGCGCATAAGGCAGAAAGGGCATATCCAGATGCGGGCCCGAACATCAACGTTGCTATGCGATGTCAGCCAAGTCGTTCATATTGCCATGCCTGCTAGCAGTTGAGAAGAAGCCATACGCATAAGGATTCAGCACCGCCCGACAAGGCGCCTTGCAAGTGACGGGCTCATATTGTAGCAACGGAGAGTCTGGCTTCTCCTTGAGGGGTGTGTAGACGGCACCGATGGGGACAACAAGGCGGGATGCTTCCTGTCAAAGCATAAGTTAGCAGATATGGGCAGGAGGGTCCCATAGAGCAGACGAACCATGCGAGAACTCGGAAACGTGTTCCAGCTGAGTCTGATGCCATCGCGATCCTCGACATCACTCCATTGGTCCTTCAACGCTTCGTAGTCCATGTTGGCGGCCTGGGGAGGAACGGGATTCCGTTACTGGAAGATAACGAGGGGAGATCTAATCGGGCAGGAACAAAGCCAGAAATAACGAATATAGACAACGCAGACCGGTTTGCAGGGGGTCCCTCCTATATCACAACCCAGTCACAGAATGGGCAACGCCAGCAGCTGTTGTCCGGAGACTATGCGGGGATCAGGAGACTGTTGTGTGAAGCGGCACCTGTTGCCATAAGGCCAGGTTGCAGCATCACTGGTCACTGCGGGCACCCGTACACCGCGCTAGTGCGCTTTAAATACCCGCTCATCTTCCCTCCACAACAGTTTTTCTTTCTTTTTCTTTCCAAATATTCTTCACAACGCCGACTCCTTTCCTTTTCTATGGCAGCTTCCATCCACTCAGTTGGTGATTTTGTCTAAAGTGTCGAGCGAAGAGTAAATTAGACCCGTTGCTGGGCACCTGGCTTTGAAAGGACGTTTTGTTCCTTTTGGATAATCTGGGAATCAGCTGTGGTCACATGCCCTTCTATCAATCACCGTTACTGTAGTAGATATACGCGTAAAAAGAGCACATTGATGTGCGCTTTGAATTGATTGTCTCGGTGCAATTCCGTGCTCTTAAATTTACATAAAAATATCTACCTATAAAATGGGACCAGTCGCATCCTCCCATTTCCAAAAAAAAAAGGCCTGACCCGGAACGCCCGCATGGTGGAATATTCGCAAACTGACAGCCAAAATGCAAGAAAGGAACGTGGCTTCGTGGACCTATCACAATGACGTTAAGCATCCTTGGGTGCCTTTCCCATTTGCTTCAAGAGATAGCTGCGCTTGAAGTAGGTATTGGGGTGCACGATGGTGTCGAGGTCAGTTTGGTTCCATGTACCGTCTTCCTTGACTCTCTTAATATCTGCTTTGTGGGTATGTTCGAAGACCCTGTTGCAAGCGATATGGAACCGCATTTTGTCGACGTCCTCTCGCACTCCACGTAGGACGTCCCTGTCATTGACTCCTGTAGACTGAAGAAGACCGATCAAATTGTCGACAGAGAAGTGGCGGTACGGGCAACCATGGGTCTGTCCAACTCCCGGATTTGAATCACCCAGGATCTTTTGGCAGGAGTACGGAGGGTATCCCCGGCCTCTGCGGTTCTGATCACCACCCACATCGCCGTAAGCGTGGCGGATATTGTACTTGTACCGCGAGTTGAATTCGTCGTCGGTAAGCCCTTTGAAGCCTTGACGCCAAAAAACAATACACTCTTCCAGCGACAATCCAATTCCCTTGAGGAAGAGGGTATATTGCAGTCGTCCGTAATGCTTCAAGTGGTTGTTCTTGCGTAGGTTCATGTGAAGACTGCGCATGCATAGTGGAAAATGCTGAGATAGTCGATCGATGTTGTTCGCAGTAATCGGGGCGCCATCAACAAATCCTTCATTCTCCGTGTACACCGACTCGGCGCTTCCAAAGTTCTTCGAGAGGTGATTGAGAATCGGAGTGAGGCGATCATCTTCATCCAAGCGCGGCAACGCCCGGCTTGTAAGCTAGCAGACGTCAGTGCCGTATATCAGTCTATGTCCACCGTTTTCACATACCTCGAGAGAACGCTCCAATCGAGCCGTAAACTCTGCTATGATCATGCTCAGTTGCTCCCTACCAGGCACATACGCTTTCCCCTTGGACAGGAAAACAGCCCGCTTCTCTACCAACTCCGGGACTTTCTCCCAGTCCACCTTGTACCAGGTCTCATCGTCATTGCGACGTGGATTCGGGGAGGCGGCGAGCAATTGTTCTGCCAGCCTCTGTTTCTCCTCCTCATCCACAGGCTCCCAGTCGAGATTAAGACTTTCGATGAAAGCGCGTCGTTCTCTGGTGTCGTCGCGTTGGAAGCGGAATCTGAAAAGCATGGTTTCCGCTCTCACGAAACGCCGACGAAGTTCCTCTGTGGCCGAAAAAGCGAGACGTAAAATGAAGTGCGAGTAGTGATCTTTCTGGCGTTCATTTTTCAGTCGTTGATCTGCGGCACCGTTGGAGGAAGATGTGTTGGAGGATAGAGGGAGGTATTTTTGGAGGTGAGGTGTGATATGCGCGTCTGTATCTGCCGGCGATTTGTTTCGATAAGAACAGGCTTCGATTTCAGCCAAAACTGTCAAGAATTGTGAGTATATATAGTATGCTGAAACTGTACATTCAAGAACCTTTCAATCGATCAATGGCCCATTGCTCAAATTGTTCGAGGGTGATCTCGTCGGTCGGGGGGATTTCATAGAAGTTTAAGCGATGGGGATAGTCCTGTTGCTTGAAGACCGGAGTCGCGAATTGTTTCTTTTTATGGTCGAGGGTTGCCCTTCTCTTTGGGTCAATTCGGCGAAAATCTTGCCGGATCATCTTGCCTTCCAACAGCGATTTGGACGCTACTGAGGTGTCTGGTCGTTGCTTGATCTGCTGCAGTTCAGCAACACCTACTACTGGATGGCCCATCGCGCGACGGACGCGAAACGCGGGCAAGACGCGCCACGGTCACGTGATACATAACTTAATGTAAAGCTCGATTGGGACACGTCAACACCGTAGTGGTGCAGCAGAGATACCGGGCTAATTGATGGGGTAAAGATTCGAAAGTAAGTGTATGTACTACTGAGCTGCGTCTCAAATGTACCACTTGAAGCAAGCGCTAGCATGATACACGCATGTGGGATACTTGCTGGGCTTCGCCGGTAGTGTCATGACAGGCTCAAAAATGAAGCCAAATGGGTGGAACAGCCAGCATCATCCTCTTTCCATTAGCCAGCTACTAGGTATCTAGTATCTGTATACAGTAGTCCTCTCCTACATACCACAGTCGCTACGCTTGATGGACGGAATCACTGTGAAAATGAAAGCCGAGGCTCACTGTAGAGACACCCTATACTCCGTACTCTACTTCCAAAATTAGCTCGACAACATAGCATGTGAGACAGTAAGCATGGTCTGACCCTCTGCATGGTACTTGTCTTCGTCCGAATTCATAGTTAGCACTGTGGAAGAAACAGTCAAAGTGCAACGCCAAAAGCCGACATTCCCATATGTCGGTAAACGCTCCGATCTCCGCTCACCGATTTCCTAAATGGGCAACCATCTACAAACCCCACGGAAGGGCGTGCTTTCCCCGGCTTGAGATTTGTCGACGTATCAGCTGAGCACCGACCTGGCCCGATAAGCTGCGCAAACTATTATCTTCCTCTACCAGTCCTGCAATCCCTGTCTACACCCTCTCAACCGTTTCCCTGAGCCGCAATGGAGATAATATAGTCTGCCCGCCATTCCTCCACTTTCCCCGAACTAATTGTTGAGGTACCCGCCTTTCGCCCTACCTTCAAATACTTAACGACGGCTGCACCAGAGCACCGAATTGCCTCCAACCCCGAGACTATATTGACAAACCTCATAACTGAATAGCGCGCGAAATGACCGCTACAATCCGGCAGCTCAGAAAAGCAGCCCGAATCATTCTCGTCGGTGCTCCTGGTGTCGGCAAAGGCACGCAAACTGAGCGGCTCCTCACCAGATATCCAGAGCTCGCCTCCATTAGCTCCGGCGACCTTCTGCGCGAGAATGTCCGCAGGAAGACCCCTCTAGGTAAGTGACCTTGAGTTTGTAAGATGCTGGGGAGGCAGGATCTGTCTAACGCTTTCCGCACTCAGGCCTTCAAGCAGAAGCCACAATGCAGTCCGGCAACCTGGTCCCCGATTCGATGATCCTCGATCTCATATCCTCTGAATTCAAATCACGCGGCTGGCTCTCGTCAGCGCCAAGTTCATCAATATCTCCCTCTGCATCTTTCATCTTGGACGGCTTTCCGCGCACCGCGACCCAGGCTTCAAGCCTAGAAACCATCGTTCCCGTGAACTTCGTCGTCCATCTCGTCACACCTCCTTCCGTCATTCTCTCTCGGATCGCGTCGCGCTGGGTACACGAGCCATCCGGGAGGGTTTACAATACCGATTTCAATGCGCCTAAAGTTCCCGGCAAGGATGATGTCACAGGGGAGCCTCTGACTCAGAGAGAAGATGACTCGATCGATACGTGGAAGCAGCGATTGCACAAGTTCGAAGAAACGAGCAAGGCATTGCTAGAACACTACCAGCGTAAGGGCTGTCTATGGCGTGTCGAGGGCGACACAAGCGATGAAATCAGTCCGAAGCTTTTTGCAGAGATTGAGCGGCAGTTTTGCTAGAGTTTCCCCACCTGATGGTTTCCCAACCTCACCCCCCGGTCCTATATACCTTCTTGTACTATATATCGGTTATATTCTGACTCTATGCTTGTTGGCGTCGCATCCCTGCAGTCCTGGAAGGGCAGCAAATGGGGACACTGCTTTTTTGTACCACTTCTTTACTCCCAGACACAGCTGGCATCTTTTCGTGGACGAGTTAAAACCTAATGATTAGTCTAACGATATTAATGAGTGCCGCAATGATTATGGATGACCAGATATTCATCTATATTATCCCAAATATACAACCAAAAGATCAGCTGCGCAATGCAGAGAGACACATAACGACATGGATATCTATCAGTATCAGCCGTATCATCATCAAAACTTAAGCATCATGCAACCACATTCCATATCACAAACGCCCCCATTGCGAATCGAAAGCACCAGCATCAACAAAGAGCAAGTAAAAACCCCACCGGGCCTACTTCTTCCCCTCCCCACCATCCTCCATCCCCGTCCTAGTCTTAAACTCCCTCGGACTCTCCCACGCATCCCTATCCTTCTTAAACCCCTTCCACAGCCCCAACCCCCTCGCCTTCGCCCACCATTCCGCACTCCGATACTTCTTCTCCATTACCTCACCCCCAAACTCCGCCCCAACCTTCGCCTCATACACCGTCGCCAACCCCTTCCTCAACATCTCATACCCGACATCGCGCCTCCGAAACGGAATCGGGAAATCCAGCGCCCGTCGTACAAACACCGTTGCCACTACCCGCTGATACTGGTCCTGTCGGTGCACGTAGATCCGCACACGCCGGCCAGTTAAATACCCCGTTAACCACTCGTGGGCTTCTTTACCGAAGGGTTGCGCGGGGCGTCCGAAATGCGCTTGTTCGGGGGCGTCGACGCCGGCTAGGCGGACGTGGATCTATTCAAAACCCAGTCCTATGTTAGCTACAAACCACTTCCCCTATGGTATACATGTAAATAGTATAAGAGCATACAGTCTGATCCCTCAATTCCTTCCGCGTCGTGGGAACCTTCTTCCAGGGTACCCAACCCCAACCTGCGAGTCTACCACCGGGTGTATGATAGATGCGGAAGTTGTCGCCATCGCCCACGCTGGTTACTTTCCCTAGGAGACTCCGCCGACGGTAATATGCGGGCGTGATGTTGACGGCTGTGGGGAATCGACGGAGGTAGTTCCGGTGCAGGGTGACAGCGCCGAGGATGCCGGTTGTGAGGACTAGTGTTGGGATGAGGGTGCGGAGTTCGGTGTAGGCGCTCCAGTCGAGGAGGTTCTTGGGGTCGTTATTGTTGTCTGTGGTGGTGGGGTGGTCATTGTTGGTGGCTTGCGCGTTGGAAGTCCATGGCGGCCATCGCATGACGGCTCATGCTAAGACTTCTGCTTCCTGGCTTTGATGTGGGGGTTTGCGCGGTGAGGGCGCCGCTTGGAGGTGAGGGTGGGAATTGGGTGTGTAGTTGGTATTGGGGGAATTGGCTTAGGGAGGGAGAGTCTCGGTTTGATGTTTATTCGGGCCGTACGTAGATGAGCTGTTGCCGAGGTGAAAGTTTGGCGGTCAGTGAGCTCCTTTTGTCCCGGTGGCGGAGGAGTGGTGGCTGCATATGGTAGTTATCTACATTTCTAGAATCTAAAATTATTGGTCTTACGAGAGTGCACTGGTACCCTCTATGTGGTTTTAGGGTACAGCGTATCCAGTCAATCCCTTGATTCGCAATGCGTAGATCCTTTTGATGCTATTGTATGTTCTAGATATTGAGCTGTTATTATCTATAGACAACTGCAGTAGTATCTTCGGTCATACCAGAAACTGACAAGACAGACGAGATCCCACAACCAGTGCGCCGCAGTGAGAAGAAACAAATTCGTACAAAAAGAGAATAGTAGTTACCGTGCCATAAATCAATCAATCAAACGTCTATTTGAGGGTCGCGGGAAGACTGGTCTTTGCTGTCGATGCAGCGGAGTCCGCCAGCTTCTTGAGCTTCTGCTCTCTGATCTTCCGCAGGTATGCGAAAAGAAGAACGAAAATAAGTTCAACCCTGGTCGCTGTCAGCATGTGATTGCGCCCCTTCATACAGACTAAACCTACCTCTCCTTAGTCATCATCAAAAAGCCTTGTACAAGGAGTCCCTTCATGATCTGGGGTCCAATTCCCTTGAAGAGGGACAGGAGACCCTCATTCTGCACAATATATCGCATGACCTCGCCGAATGTCTTGAAAGGCTTTCCTTCGCGACCCGGAGGTGGGCGAGACTGAAGGCCGACCTTGGCCACAATCAATGGTTGCGTCGCAATAGTAGCTAGCGCCTTGGAGAGAGCGCCGAGAACTGCAAAAGTAATCGGATTAGCTCACGCCATATAGGTGGTGATAGATATACTTACGGAAAGCTTCCCAAGGCTTCAGATTGTTCTTCCCTGGGAAGATGATATCTTTGAGGCGCTGATAGGCGCCGTATGTGATTGCCGGGTTGACTACCAGGATCAAACTAGCTTTGAGTCCTCTCCATAGACCAGTCCAACCATCTTCACTATCAACAATCTCCTTTCCAGTTTCAATCAGGCCCTTCCTCTCGCTCTTGTCTTGTGTCTGTTGCCGTGTGGTGATAACGGCAACGGGAATAGTGAAGATCTGGGCGACCGCGCCCGCCACGGCACCGAGGGAAAGCTCAATGGCAGTTCCAGGAGGTTTAGGAACCTTGTTGGATGCCATGTAGAAGGCCCTCACAACGGTGTACCAGTAGAAATAGGCGAAGTTAGTGGACGCCACACCGATGAGAGAGCCGGCGATTCCGGAGTATAGGCCTTCGATTCCTTCCTTCTCGACAATCTTGGTGATCGCATCTAATGTCGATTTATAGTGAACTGTTTCGGAATTCTCGTCTTTCGAGTCGCTTGTCTTGACTTGTACTTGGAGTTTCGTCTTGACACTGTGCATTGACGCATGTTTATTAGCGGATTCTCCTTTTCGAAGTTTAAAGCGACAGCAGGTACTTGCATACAGATCAAGAGGGTAGACCAAAGCGTTTGCTAGAACTGCACCTGTAGCACCCGCGACGGCACTTCCCCAAGGGGAAAGTGCGGGCTTCGACTGGCCGGCCATTATTGTGACGAGATGAATTAGTTGGTAGATTAAATGGATGAGGTATTTGGCGTAACGTGAAATGCGAGAAGAATATCGACCAGCGTCCCAAGCCGTTTATTGAAACACTCTAACCGAAATGCCAGTATCGGACTTATTACCTGAGAATAATATGGCGGTGCGGAATAATAATTGGCGATATTTCGGAGCGGGGACTCCCAGGAGAGCCTAGCAGCTCACAGGGTGGAATGATCGGAGGGTGACAGGAGAGTGTCTGGGCTGTGCGAAAGAACTCTGGCGACCGCAGTGTTCACAGTTTGAAGCGATCACAGGCGAAGTGGTGTCGAGTGCCTGGTCAGGGACTGGTCAGTGACTGACAAAACCAGAAGCCCGGCAAGCAGCACTATGAGGGCAGGGATACTCCGAACAAGCAAGTCAAGGCAGATGGACCTCGGCGCAGCGATGGCGCGCATGACGAAACGAGCCTCGGTCCGATGGCCGGCCTGTTGATCGTTATCGCTTTGGGTCACCCACTGTTTCCTGCCCACTGCCGTCTCTCCCCACCGACACGCGACGGTTACCAACTCCATACTATCTAGTACCACCATTCACACTTCATCTGCCGACCTTTTCTTTGGTGTTTCATCTTCCTGACTAACCCATCTAAGATTTCCTTATCTTTGGGTTATCTGGAAGTGCACGTTCCCCTTGTCTATTATTGCTTTGGGTCTGGCACATTCCTTAAGGTAGTGGACCTCGGATGTCATCATCGGAGATACTAGGTCCCCTTCGGCATGATCATCAAGTAGTGTATTACTGCCTCACATCTGATAGGTGCTAGCCGAATCTGCAGTAGTTGCAGAGAGGCTGGTTCAGAAGAATGTCTAGACCGAACGCTGCATCTACAAAGTTCTTAGTCAACCAGGCCTTGGTAACTATTTTACTCTTTTCTACTTCCAGCTCGGTGTCGATCACCACCATAGAGGTTCTTCTGACTAACCAGTAGCCAGAAAGCTGAGCGAGATGCATCTAGTGCTACTACTCAAGGCCAGGCCCTTGAGTCTGCTATCGACGCCGCCGAAAATTACATGAAGGCGTTGAGTCTCACCACCGAATCAAAGGATAGACAGGCTCTTGATGCGAAATGTAAGGAATGGCTCACACGGGCAGAAAAGATCAAACAGAACAAGGACTGGCAGGCCGTTGTCCAGATTCAAGAGAAAAGCGGTCTCACGGCGCGATTTCCCAAATCCACACGTAAACTTACCACACGTGAGGAGATTATCTTGCTTGAGAGCGCAAAGCTAAATGGCTTTATCTTTCCTCCATGGAAAAATGCCCCGGGCCCCGAAGATTTCGAAAAGGGAGTTGAAGGGCTTTTTACGTACGTCTATCTAGTCGCTGATGTTGGAGGCATCGTCAAATGTTGTTTCTAGATGCTGACTGGGTCCAGTGACAAGCCAGACCTTCACCTGTCCAAACAGCAAAGGCGCATTCTGGCAGGCTGGGAGCGTCCCTCTGAGCTGTTGTCTAAGCATGCAAACGGCATACATGGCCTGAAATCAAGAATGCCTGTGATGTCGGTTTCAGGCACTACAGATCTCGTCCAAGATATGTTGACCGACTGCTCCGTCGTTGCCAGTCTCTGTGCTGCTACATCAAGGTCGGAGCGAGGTCTAGATAAGGTATGATGTTCTTCAACATGACATTCCTGCGAGGAACATGCTCCTAACAATTACAGCACCATCTTCCCATCGTTTTCCCCTGCGAATACGGGCAGGTAAATCCAATAATTTCCCCTTCAGGAAAATACATATTCCGCTTTTATTTTAATGGATGTTTCAGAAAAGTTGTCATTGATGATCGCTTGCCGGCGTCAAAAACAACAAGATCACTTCATGTTGTTGATCGAAATAATCCTAACTTTCTGTGGCCGGCCTTTGTAGAGAAGGCGTATCTGAAGCTTCGCGGGGGCTATGACTTTCCTGGGAGCAATTCTGGTACAGATTTGTGGGTCTTGACAGGCTGGATTCCCGAACAGGTCTTCCTCCATCAAGATGATGTAACTGCAGAGCAACTCTGGAGGCGGCTATTCAAGCGCTTCCGGCATGGCGATGTGCTACTGACGATAGGTACGGGCAAATTAACCGAGAGGGAGCAGAAAGAACTAGGCTTAGCGAGCGAACATGACTACGCTATCTTGGATATGAGAGAGCAGAGAGATCGTCGCCAAATGCTTGTAAAGAACCCATGGGCAGGTGACGATGTCACCACCGGAGATATCGCAGACAGTTTCGGACTTGGACATACATCTCACACCCCTGCGTCCTCCTTACCTAGGACCTACTGGATGGATTGTGAGAGTGTCCTACAAAACTTTGAGAATCTGTATTTGAACTGGAATCCGGGAATCTTTCGCTATCGGGAAGATATTCACTTTACATGGGACCTTCCAACTGCCAGAGGGGTAGCTGGCTGCTTCGCGAAAAACCCCCAGTTTGCTATTACCTCTGAGATTGGCGGTAATGTCTGGCTACTGCTTGGGAAGCACTTCAGGTCGATTCATCATGATAAGCAAGATCAAGTGCCCCAAGACGATCTGGAACCAGGATTTATTAGCATCTACGTGTTCAATGCAAATGGAAAACGAGTGGCATTAAGTGAAGGAGCCCTTCATCGCGGTCCATACGTTGACTCGCCAAATACTCTCATGAGACTGGAAATGCCTCCAGGCACGACCTACACTGTCGCGGTTTCTGAGCAATCATTACCTGCTGTCAGCCAGAACTTCACATTGTCGGCTCTGTCCGACAATCCCTTGCTCTTGGCGCCTGCCCAGAACCGATACGCTTGCCTGACAAAAACTCAGGGAATGTGGATGCCTTCCACGGCAGGAGGAAACGCCGAATCTGCCCGCTACCCGTTTAATCCTCAGTTCCGACTCGAGGTTCATGACGATACAGATATATCAATTCTGCTGGAACCATCGGAGCCGGAGCTCGCTACGCATGTCAAGTTGTTCTGGTCCAATGGACAGCGTGTGACTAGGGTTCGGAACCGCGATATCATAACCGATAGCGGTGATTACCGGCGTGGCGGGTCTCTTGCGGAAAAGAAGAGACTCGGCGAAGGAGTCTACACGCTCGTCTGCTCAACCTTCGCCCCGGACCAACTTGGGCGGTTTACACTCTGGATTTCGTCGGCATTACCATGCGACGTGAAGCCGCTTGCACCAGAGGCAGCAGGGCGACGAGCAGTCATATCTGATATCGGGGTCTTGACTCCGGGGAAAGATCGGATGCTGGCATCCTTGGAGACCAATCGCTTGACCCGCATCAAGCTGATAGGACGGAGCAGAATGTCTACGATCGGAAATCGCGCCGTTGGCCCATCTCCAATGTTGATGACAGTAGAGCTTGGTCAAGGGCC